ATTTTTCTTATTTTAACCGGTTCTTGTTCCACTAAATGGTTCCTTAGGGGACACTTGATTTATGTCGGCTAATTTTCAAAATCTTTCTGAATAGTATTGCCTTTTCTTCTCAAACCTTCCGCCTCACCCCTCTAATCAATTGTATAGCATGTTTCATTGTTTCGCCTTCCAGTGAACTCTTGTTCACGTATCAGTCACTCTCAATAGACATCTCAATAGCCCTACTTTCTTGCTCTACACCGACTACAGCCTTCGCTTCCCACCGGAATGTCGTCGCCACCTCGCACTATCCATCCCGTGAAATAAACATGGCCTTGGTCGCATGATTTCCAGACACCGTTTTGGTACCCTGGGAAATTGCCGAAGTCTTCTGCTTCCTCGGGCGGTAAGGGTGGAAGTTGCAGCTCCGTTCTTAGTAAGTGGACTGTTTCTCTCAGCCATTCAAGATCTAGAGCACGATCGTTACCCTTAAAAAACACTGCAAACCGATCGCAAGCCAACTTTAGCCGAGTGTTACCTGTTCTTGAAAAAGGGATTTGGTGTTTTGCAGCTTCAATTTGTGCCTCTAGCACATGACTGAAAAGAAAGAACTTCCTTGTATGTTCGTGCACCTGACTAAGAGTTTTCAAATTGAGTTGAGGTTGCTCAAGGTATACTTTGATATTTTCGAGCGCTTTCGTGGTAATGTTCTCGAGTTGCTCCACGTTCCCTTGCTGTGTGGAGATACCTTGGGCTGAGTGCACGTTTGCTAGAAGCTGCTGTGGCGCTTGTGCTTTCTTAAGAATCGTCAAGTGATTCTTAGCTATAAAAAGAAACAGAATCGTGCTCTCATCCATTCGTACATCACGTGGAAAAAACTGCATAACGCGAAGAACTGTTTGCGGAAACTTCAGCTTCTTCACATCAAACTTTAGGTGCCTTAGATCCTTTCCTAAGAGATTTACAGAGTTGGAAACTTCAACTGCAAGCTCGTGTACTTGTACTTTGACATGATCCACGTTCTTCAATGTCCTTTTGACGAGATTTCCATAACGATAACTGAATGTAATTGGTGTAGAACATCTTGGACAACGCATGAGTTGCACGTCACTACTCTGTTGACGCAACATCCACTCGTCCATACTTTTAACTGTTATGATGTGACCACAGTCGAAAAGTTGCAGACATCTTGTGGGTTCCGTTTTGTTAACACGTCCATCCCTGAGCACAGAAGATAGCTTTTCAGCGTGACAGATTGCACACGCAGTGGGACAGGTTTCTCCGCACAAGCCAATACACTGGTGGCCGCAAGCCGGAAGCTTTTTAGGACAGGGAGCGTCGCATCGAGGGCGGTCGCACTCTTCACCACAAAGATTGTTGCACTGGTAATGAGGACAACTCCATGTACAAGGCTGTCCACATGGATTGCATGGTTTTGAGCAGTGCTCCTTACACTTTTCATGAGGGCACCTACGGCCGCACCTACTGACACATGGAGGGCAAGGCTCACAGCATGTTGCTCTGCAACGGTGCAAGCAAACGAGAATACGACGGCACGGATTTTGGCAAATTTTGTGCGATTTCCTTTGCCGACAATCGCCACATGTCCCAGAACACTGATGACCACATTGCAGCTTTGCTCCACATACTGCAGGGCACCTTACATATTCCGGATTGTGACAGCAGCGCATTTCAATCTTGTGACCACATCGTAGAGTTCTGGTCACAGGTTTGTTGCAAGGATACTTATAGCAAGGTTCCCCACACCATCCCTTGCAAAGATGTCCGCATGAGCTCTTCGGCCGCAGACAAGGTGCTTTACAAATAGCTGTTTTTCTCAGAAAACACGGAAGCGTTTTTTTGTGGCCACAAGGAAACGTCATTTTTATCTTCCGCCTGCATTTCACAGTTCCGCATGGTTGACCACAAAACCCCTCACAAGGGTGACCACAGTCTAGCGTTTTCCTGCAGCTCTGCAAACACATTGTGGTTGTTGGGTTTTCAGTACATAGCATTCGGAGATGATGTTTCCCTGGGCAGTTAAGTTTCTTCATCACCATCTCTTCGCACTGGTAATCACTGCACTTTTCAGAGCATTTTCCAGTACAAACGTGGCCACATGACAACTTTCGTATGCATTTGTTTGGACAAATAATTTGAGAAACGTCGTCAGGACAAAGACAACTGATTTTATGGTGTCCGCAGGACAAATTCTTTTCCACCCTTTCTGCGCATTGCACTTTACTACAGTCGTCACTGCATCGTCCTCGGCAAGGATGCTTACAGGAAAGATGTCGTTCACAAGGGGCGTCGCAAAAAATGTCTTCTGGTTTCACGGAACATTGCATCTCTTTCGCATGGCCACAGCGTAGTTTTTTCTTGACCACTTCATCGCATTTCACATCTTCTAATACGTTCTTCGTTTTTGAACATTCAACGAGCCTTTTGTGTCCACAGGACATTGTGATGTCAACTTTCTCTTGGCACTTGCGATCTTCGCCAAATTCACAACAGGGAATAGTTACCTCGTGTTCACAGGACAACTTGCGAGTTCTCATAACCATGCAAGGGGGTAGTCTTCCAGCCTTTTCAGCCGAGCAGGTGACCGACTTTGTGTGTCCACACGTCATTGTGACATCGACTTTTTTCATACACTTGTAGTCTTCAATATTTGTGTGACACTGAAGAATAGCTTTATGCTTGCAAGGCAGTTCTTTATCTACTTTCTCATCGCATTTCACGTTCTGTAGGCCAGCTTCTTTAACATAGCAGTCCATTGGCTTCTTGTGTCCACATGAGAGATCGACCACAACTTTTGCCTTACATTTGTACGTTTGAAGGTTTTTGTTACAGGCTAGACTTACTGTATGTCCACAACGCAACGTTCTCGTTACCAACTTCATACATGGTCTAGCGTCACAGTTCTTACTACAAACATCTCGACAAGGGTGTCCACAGGTCCTAACTCGTTCGCATGGCTTTCTACATTGTAGTGCAGCTGGATCCAAGTAACAGGGCATCTCAATGTCGTGGTTACACGAGGGAATTGTCATGTTAACCATCACTTTACAGTCTTTACATGGAAAACCATAGTGGCACCGTTGTTGGCAGGGATGACCTCGGTTACATTTCTTTTGACACATTTCGTGACAGCTGATGTTGCGTGGGTCAAAGTGGCAGGGAAGGATTTGTTCGTGATCACATGGAAGAATCTTTCCAACCAAAATTTCGCACCGGAACCCGTTACAATCTTCATGACAAAGACCAGGACACTCGTGTCCACATTTCAACCCTCGCCTGCATTCTTCAAAGCAAAGGAGAGGTTGGTTCTTTTGGGGACACAAAACACGCTTTTGATGCTTGCATGGCAGGTCAACTTCTATTGTAGTGTTACAGTGACATCGTTCTTTGCATTTCCTGGAACAAGGGTGGCCACATTCCAGTTCTTTGTTGCAATCGCTTTTGCAATGGTTGTAGATTATGGGGTCTTTGAAACACGGCATAATCTTTTCATGTCCACATGGAAGAGTTTTATTACATTCAACATTGCAACGTGTTGTGCACGGGCTACCACAGACGTTTTTACATTGGTGGCCACAGTTGAGAGTTTTCTCGCATTTGACTTGACATACAAAATCTTCGGGTTCAATACAACACCGTACTGTTTGTTCGTGGCCACATCGAGGAATAATCTTCACCATAGGACGTGCACAGAAGCATTCAGATGGATGATGACAGAGCCTTTGACAATGATGGTCATTGGGGCAGCTTTTCCAACACACCTTTGGACATCGCCCAGGTTCATGAAATTCATCTGTAGGATGACAGTCCTTGTCGCAGGCATGACCACATTCAAGACGTACTCCACAGAGTTTGCCACAACCACCCAGGGGAAAGTTTTGGATGTCACTCGGATTTTTTACTTCGTTGGCATTGTTGTGCCTCTTGCAAACCAGTGTTAGAACGTGACCGATTGCATTCTTTGTTTGTAAATCGTCGCATATTTCCTTCCAGAGCATACACTGGCTTTTGAGAAGGGTAAAGTTGCCGATGCAATAAAATCCTTGACGAGCTCGCGATAACGCAACGCATATTCTGTTTGACTCCTTCAAGAATCCTATTTTGGAGCTTCGTACCAACGAGAGGAGTATGATGTCGTTTTCTTCACCCTGAAAGTTGTCGACAACACACACTTTAATCCCCTCAAATTCACTTCTTGGCATTCTGTTCTTTAACTCTAAAAGCTGGCCCGTGTACATGGTAAGAATTGTGATTTGCTCTCGCTTGTAACCTTGCAGCAGTAGGTAACGACAGAGAGCCACGAGGAAGCCAGCCTCGTGAGGATTGGAGTAGCTTTGCATACCGCCAACTAGGACTTCAGGCTGGTGGTGGTCAATAAAGAACATATTGTGCTTTAGTCCTGAGATGTCCTCAAATGTGCACACAGACTCGTGGTCCACGATCTCATGTTCGTAAATTCTTTTAGTCAGGGCAGCAATCTCAGGACGCATGCGGTGCTGAGTGGAAAGGCGTTTGCAGTCCATGCTGTTTAACACCATTCGCTCGAACAGCGAGATCTCCAGATTGTATTTCTGGGCCAATTCATAAACTGTTGCTTTCGGGCGAAGCTGTTTATGGTCTCCAATGAGAATGGTATGTTTTGTGTTTCGTGAAAGAGAAGTAATGATATGGGCTTCAAGAACCTCAGCAGCCTCCTCTATGATGACGATTTTGGGAGATATTCTCTGAAGCATTGAATGGTATCTGGCAGCACCACTGGTTGTCATCCCAACGACTGTTGCTCTGCGTATGACCACTTCCTCCTCTTCAGCATTAGCCTCTTCCAATTTAGCACAAAGCTCTCCATGTTTTTGTTCCACTCGTTGGATCTCAATTCTTTTGCGTTCACGATAGCATTCCACCCAGTAAAGGTATAATCGGAGACGATCCGCTGCTGATAACTCCCAGATGTCTGTCACTCTTGTTGCTTCGTTGTCGGACATCATTGTTAACTTTTGCAACTGCGTCTTTAGATTGGTTACATCCCCTGTGAGATTGATCTCGTCATGTAACGTTGGTCGAGTTTCACCGCCTCTGCTGGCCTCTAGCCAGACAAATGGATTTGAATCAGTAGTTTCTGATTCTTGCTTTGTTCGAGCTTCAGTCGTAGCTTCCCTTTGGCTATTTTTAGAGTCAATCAGTTTTCTGCCTCTACTGGCCACTTGCCAGACAAATGGATTTGAATCTTCTTCGTTAGTTTCTGTTTCTTGCTTTGTTTGAGCTTCAGTCGTAGCTTCCCTTTGGCTATTTTCAGAGTCAATCAGTTTTCTGCCTCTACTGGCTGCTTGCCAAACAAACGGATTTGAATCTTCTTCGTTAGCTTCTGTTTCTTTCTTTGTTCGAGCGTCAGTCGTAATTTTCCTTGGTTGGTCAGAGTCAGTCACTTCACTGCCTCTGTTGGCCAGTCGCCAGACAAATGGATTCGAATCTTCTTCGTTGGCTTCAGTTTCTTTCTTTGTTCGAGCGTCAGTCGTAATTTTCCTTGGTTGGTCAGAGTCAATCAGTTCACTGCCTCTGTTGGCCAGTCGCCAGACAAATGGATTTGAATCTTCTTCGTTGGCTTCGGTTTCTTTCTTTGTTCGAGCGTCAGTCGTAATTTTCCTTGGTTTGTCAGAGTCAATCAGTTCACTGCCTCTGTTGCCCAATCGCCAGACAAATGGATTTGATTCTGTTTCGTAGGTAACTTCCATTTCTTCCTGGGTCTCTTCTATTCTTTCCCTTTCCGAGTCGTCTTCTTCAAGTGATTGATGCGATATTGCTAACGTATATTCTTCGTCGCCCTCAATACATCTTTCATTATGTATCCGCGTAGCCTCGTCTTCCACTGTAATTGTCAGTTCAACAGCTTCCCTATTAATAAGGTGGTCTGACAATTGACTTCGCTCCTCAAGGCCTTGGGTAACTGCAGCAATTGGGGCGTCACTCGTCTGAAGAGAGACTGATAAACATTGGTCATCTAGTAATGTCTGGCTCTTTGATGAACCTTCCGCCGGATCCTTTTGAGCCCAATCCACGGACAACTCGTTCTGAATTAAAGAATTATCAACCTTGGAGTTTGTGGATTGGCTTTGGTCGGATTTAAAAATGGGCATCGCTTTCGTATCCGCTGTTGGAATTATTTTCGTTGTACTCTCTTTGGGGCTGTCCTCAGACAGTTCCTCAGAACCTAATACGTCGCCTTCAGAATGAGCATTAGTCATTCGTGACTCAAATGCTGGACCAGGACCAATGTAAAAATCGTCAATTACTTCACCTGGGATGTCTTGGGAAAGGATAGAGCCATCTTGGTTTTCATCTACCTCGCTTTCCTCCGATACGTTCTGGCGTTGGTTCAGATGATTCAACTGCTCGTTGTCGCTCAGCCATAATTTGAAAGTGTTAGAGGTCTTTCGACATTTGGCTATTACTTTAGGTGGAAATACTGCGTCGTAGAGTTGATCTGCCTGTTCCGTAGTCATGGAGCCTTCCAAATGTCTAAATTCTAACACCTCATCGGCTGCTTTGGCAAGACCGGCTTTGTACACGTCTAGTTCCGCTTCATTTTCCTTAATCTTCCTTTGTATTAATGCACGCTGGTAATAGTTCCTTTGCCTCTTCGTAAAGAGCTTTAAATTACACTCTTCCAGTTGCTCGCTTTTGCATCTTCCTCCTACCCGAATGATCTCTCTCTTTGGCAGGAATTCCAACACCTTTTCCAGGAACTGATCCAGAGCGTGATTTGTGTAGCACACCATCAACATTGGAGATGTTTTGTCCGGATCCCACTGGATGCGATTCTCGAGCAAACATCGCACAATTTTAGCTCCAACGTACGTCTTTCCTGTCCCGGGGGGGCCTTGGATGACAGCGAACTCAGTTGTAACCGCTGTTCGTAATGCCTCAAGTTGTGAATGGTTCAGGTGAAGTGCCTGGACCGATGGCCAAGCCTCAGAGTCGAGAACAGGTACCTTCTTTGCTTTTGGTAAATTTGGTACACCAAGGGCCTTGCTGAGATTATAACATACAGGATCTTGGTCATCCTCGCGTCGTAGATACTCTGGAGGGTCTACTTCGGCACTACATTCAACCAAGTACTTAGTGAAAGGCATGGTGTCGTCGTTCAACCCCTTGAGTCCTTTAAGTACGTGACGATAGGCTTCATAATAGGCTGGTGACTCAACCATCTGGTATTCTTGTTGGCGCTTCTCGATATCAACAATATTTTGTTCCTCAATGAATCGAATGTGAAATCTGCCTTTCGACAGGTCCCTTGGGTCTCGATTAGCAACCGTAGCAAAAAGCATTGTTTCGAAGTTATCTTTAGAAAGGCAAAGGAATGAACCAAAAATAAGCCTTTTGGACTGCGCCCAGTTTGTCATGCCGAATTTGGAAACATCAAATTGAACCTTGTGATTCACTCCAGACAAAGTAAATTCCTTGCCAACAATGTGCACCCCTTGGTAGCATTTCATCATCTGATTACGTTGTCCTCTTGGAATGTTGTGCGTAATCTCATAGATACCTTCTCTTAATGGCTCAAGGAAATCCTCTCGAAGCAATCGGAACTGCACATCAAGGTAATGTTCGACATCTTGGTAACGTCCTTTTTTAATGTTCTTTCGCAGAAAGGGTCGTTCTTGAGACTTAATTTCTTTGTTCGTTGGACATATGGGTATGTCTCGAAAATCATTTGGCGGTTTTTGACCCATTTTGTTGACGTAACGACTTCCAGGGTTTTGTCTTTCGGCTCTGATGATGTCATCTCTTCTTTGTTTGAAATCATGTAATCGTTCCTTCAGTTCATCTTTTCCATCAATGTTTGACTGATCCAAGGTTTCTCTGAGCGGATCGTAAGGCGGGTCAGCATATGAACTCGGTANACATCTTGGTAACGTCCTTTTTTAATGTTCTTTCGCAGAAAGGGTCGTTCTTGAGACTTAATTTCTTTGTTCGTTGGACATATGGGTATGTCTCGAAAATCATTTGGCGGTTTTTGACCCGTTTTGTTGGCGTAACGACTTCCAGGGTTTTGTCTTTCGGCCTTGATGATGTCATCTCTTCTTTGTTTGAAATCACGTAATCGTTCCTTAAGCTCATCTTTTCCGTCAATGTTTGACTGATCCAAGGTTTCTCTGAGCGGATCGTAAGGCGGGTCCGCATATGAACTCGGTAAGTGAATCAGATACCTATTGAATACCTTGATTAGGGATTCTATGAGTCTTCTTTGAGACTGGAGATCAGTAATTGTCGTTTTCCCCTTTTGAACACGATCGAGTAAGTATGAAATTTTGGATCTAAAAAAGGCTGAACCTTTAAGCGCAGCCAGAATCTTATTCGTGTTTTCGCCTGCTGGCGCATCGCAGACGATTGCTAGTGTGCAAGTAAGGTCGAAGATGAATTCATCAGTGTTGTGCTGTTCCTCCTCTGATCTTAGTAAGAACGTAAGTCCAGACATACTCTCGTTTAATTTGTGGACCACCTCAGTGCAATCCTTTTCTTTCAAGGTCTTAAGATCCAGAGTGTTACCTTTACTGGGGTATGATTTCTTTTGGCCGCCTCTCTGCAGTCTACCCGCGGGAGGCTGTGTCTCATGCTGCGTTGCTGATTTGGCATTTCTGTTCTCTGGATCATGTTTTCCTCGTCGATGGTCGTGGTTTTTACCTGTGTCATAGGAGATAACCAATTTGACATAATAGTTGTAAAGTAGTTCAACCTTTCCAACTTGCACCAGTTGTCTGTCAGTGTACTAACCTGAAGTTTGTCCTTTGCCAGTTGATGACGGAAGACGTTTGCCTTTGTCACCTTCTCGTGATGCTCCTTTACCGCACCCTTTTGGATCTTGCTTCCTGTGCTTGTCAGAATTGCCACCTTAGACAAAACACACAATGTCGTGCTTACAATAAAGTATCGTTTTGAGAACTAAAGCCAAACCAAATCATGACTCTCAATTTCCAATTTTCAATGAAATACAATCATTCGAAACATGATAGAGTAACGTCCGATGATTGACAGGTCAACGCGCTACGGGGCGCATGTGAATCCAAGTTGATTTCCACCACATTGAGAACTCAGCTGAAATACCAAGGTTTTTCACTGGTCGATCCTCGCCAAAGTACTCAAAAACCTAACATAGTTTATCTAACATTATCAGCATTGACGTTGAATTTCGGATCAAGCTGTCTGGGTTCAGTGCTGGTCAGGGTCATTGCGTTGTTCTTGGTCAAGACACTTTATTCGCACTGTGCCTCTCTCCACCCAGGAATATAATGGGTACCGGCAAATTGCGTGAGCAAACTAATGCTAGGGGTAACCTCTGTTAGCTTGCACCCTCTCTAGGAGAGTATCCATATTTCTAATCGCTTAATTCTATGGAAATCGGAGTTAATAACAAGCCTGATGAGCCATCTACACTTGGAGATAGACATCAACGTTTAATAACATTGTGATAAGTTTTCTACCTACCCGCTTCTGAATTAGGTCTACTTGTAGAGAGTCCAGCTGCACCCTGTGAATGTGAAGATTGTGAAGATCGATGTTTTGGTCTCCTGGTCTTTTTCGTTCCTCCTTTGTTTGGTTCCATCTTTGCTCCAAGATCTGGAAAAAAAAAGGTTTGTGTTGTGGTATTTTCCATAATCAAGGTTTTACAATAGTGATCTCATTCTGTTTGGCCACTGAAACTGTTGAAACGCCACTATTATTTCAGGTTCTTGGCCTTGATGCTGTTTGGAAACAATTGCGTGCACAGTTGCTTGATGGAAAGATTAGCCTGACAAAATAACTAGACCTAGTAATCAGTATAAATTTCTCTTTTCAATATCCGCACAAAATCAGATATTCGGGTTTAGAGAATAAAGGATTAGGTCACCAGTCAACTGATTTTAATGTGGTCAAATTCTCTCAACAAGTGATAGAGAAAATGTATGGAAACGGGTAGGAAGGATTTGCATGTTGTCATTGGTCTTACCTGGATTAGCCTTTCCTTCTTCATTTGTTGAAGCTTGTAGTTTTATTTTGGTACCTTCCCGTCGCCTCCCTCTCCAATCTTTCTGATCTGTGTTATGTTTTGTGGGACCACCATCTTAAAGACAATGAAGAGAAAACGAGGATGTCTTTGCTGAAGAAAGCAATTTGTATTTCAGAGAAAGCTATCTTGCCAGATGCAAAGCAACGTTTTCAGGTACTTTCAAACTCGGAACGTGTTCTACCAATTTATAATCATAAACGTCTGCACTTTGGGTTGAATAAAATACATGTATGGACTCTGATAGTTCTGGACATTCAGACAAAACAGAAACACGAGACAATGAAGTCACTACTTTTTGTGGGACCTGCACATGTACGATGCTGCAGACGGTTAAAAAAATAAGTTTAAAAAAAATAAGTTGTTTAAAAGTAGATTCTCATCTGAGACAGATCACAGTCTCTTGTATGAGACAATTCGACGACTTAAAATAGCGGTTAACGGCTAAATTTTACCAGTTTATGGTTACTCCCATTCTGCCCCCCTAAACTTATTCCACAAAGCGATAATACCTCTGGTAGTTGGTGATTTACCTACCGTCTGAGTTGCGTTTACTTGGTATCTCGTCAGCAGACGTTCCACATGCGCCTGCTGATCTCGAACTCAGGGTTCCTTTCTTTTCAGTTGCTGCTTGTCCTTGTAATTTTCCCTCCTTGGGTCGAGATGTTTCTCCAGAATCTAAACATGTGAAACAAAGTCCAGTTTAGTAACTAAAAGGAAGAAGATGCTATAAGACGTGTAGCAAATCAATCAGAAGAGTTCAAATTAGGAAAGGAGACAAAACTAAAAAAGAGGAAACTGGAGGGAAAAATCGACCTGTCAAAATTTTGCAGCCGTGTGGGTAGATGTTTAAGGGCCTGTTTACAAGGAGGGAGGNCCCGCGGGAGGCTGTGTCTCGTGCTGCGTTGCTGATTTGGCATTTCTGTTCTTTGGATAAGGCTTTCTTGGTCGATGGTCTTGGTTTTTACCTGTGTCATAGGAGATAACCAATTTAACGTAATAGTTGTAAAGTAGTTCAAACTTTCGAACTAGCACCCTTTGTCTGTTATTGTACTCACCTGAAGTTTTACCTTTGCCAGTTGATGACCGAATGCGTTTGCCTTTGTCGCCTTCTCGTGATCCGGCTCCCTTACCGCGCCCTTTTGGATCTTGCTTCTTATGTTGGCCAGAATGGCCACCTTAAACAAAACACGAAATTTCTTGCTTACGATATAGAACCGTTTTGAGAACTAAAGCCAAAGCATGAGTCTCAATTTCCCATGATATAAAACCATACTAAATATGATCGAGGAATGGTCGATGATTAACAGATCAACACGCTCCGTGGCACGCAAGAATCCCAATTGATTTCCACCACATCGGGAACTCAACGGAAATACTAAGTATTTTTACCGGCCGATCCTCACCAAGGTACCCGAAAACTTAAATTTGTTTATCCAACATTATCGGCGTCAACTTGAATTTCAGATCAAGCTGTCTGCATTCACTGCTGGCCAGGGCTGTTGTGTTGTTGTTCTTAGTGAAGAGCCTTTATTCCCAATCTGGCTCTCTCCACCTAGTAGTATAAATGGGTTCCGGCAAATTGCGTGGGGAACCTAATGCTAGGGTTACCCTGTGTNTTAAGCAAAACACGAAATGTCGTGCTTATGATATAGAACCGTTTTGAGAACTAAAGCCAAAGCATGAGTCTCAATTTCCCATGATATAAAACCATACTAAATATGATCGAGGAATGGTCGGTGATTAACAGATCAACGCGCTTCGTGGCACGCGTGAATCCCAATTGATTTTCACCACATCGGGAACTCAACGGAAATATTAGGTATTTTTACCGGCTGATCCTCGCCAAGGTACGCGAAAACTTAAATTTGTTTATCCAACATTATCCGCGTCAACTTGAATTTCAGATCAAGGTGTCTGCATTCAGTGCTGGCCAGGGCTGTTGTGTCGTTGTTCTTAGTGAAGGGCCTTTATTCCCAATCTGGCTTTCTCCACCTAGTAGTATAAATGGGTTCCGGCAAATTGCGTGGGGAACCTAATGCTAGGGTTAC